GTGTTGTAATACATACTTTACTTTGTGTACACATATTAGTGTACATATTGTGTTGTAATACATACTTTACTTTGTGTACACATATCATTGTTGTGATGTGATACATACTATAGTTTGTGTACACTCATTATTGTACCTGTTGTGTTGTGCCCAAAGATTGGCCATTGACAGCTACAGCTGGAAACGGTGGGGTGGGATAGGTACTGCCTGAAATAAATACATGTCAAGGTTATTAAGGAGTTTCACATTTGAGTGTCAGGAAACATAAAATATGTTCATTAAATGGCAACAAGATAATTTAAAAATAAATTAAAACTATTTTTTGCAAAGTAAAATTAACTTTGTTCTAGGCAGAACAAGAATTATTGTAAGAAAAATGTATTGTTACTTCTAAGACAAAATAACTAACTTCACTGCTATAAGTTAAAACTGCTGCTTCTTCTTTCATGTACAGTGAATGCTATCTTCTTAACCCTAGCAACTTTAGTCCAGTTGATAAAGATGAGGATGAGCAGCAACTAAGTAGTTGGTAAGGGTTGTACTGTCTAGTTCACACAATATATATAAGTTACCGTACATTTTAGATTTTACATTCTATTTCATACTATATATAAGTTATCTGTGCATTTTAGATTTTGTATTCTAGTTCATACTATATATAAGTTATCTGTGCATTTTAGATTTTGTATTCTAGTTCATACTATATATAAGTTACCTTTGCATTTTAGATTTTTTATTCTAGTTCATACTATATGTATGTATGTTACCTGTGCATTTTAGATTTTACATTTTAGTTCATACTATATATGTTACCTGTGCATTTGAGATTTTACATTTTAGTTCATACTATATGTGTTACCTGTGCATTTTAGATTTTACATTCTAGTTCATACTATATATATGTTACCTGTGCATTTTAGATTTTAGATTTTAGTTCATACTATATATGTTTCCTGTGCATTTTAGATTTTACAGCCTAGCTTACTCTACATATTTATGTTACCTGTGCATATTAGATTTTACAGCCAAGCTCACTCTACATATATAAGTTACCTGTGCAGTATGATATATCCATAAATACATTTACTTTGAGTATTCAATAGTCGAATTACTGTATGTATAATACAGTTTTGAAAGTTTATCCTATATAACTTAGTTACTATTAATAAATGTTGTTTGTAATGATTGAACAGACAAACTTACCATTTGTGTAAGTTGTTTATTAGGCTTCAAACAGATGAACTTACAATTTCGTGTAGGTTTAACAAATAAACCTACCGTATGTATAAGTGTTCTGTGAAGGTTGAGGAGATCCAACTGTCCCCAGTGTTGTACTATACGGATTTAAGTAGCCAGGTTGTGTAAGAGCTGGACTACCCGCCTTTGGTTGTGCTCCTAAGTTTCTGCTACCTAATAAAATAAAAAAGTGGAAAATGAAAAAATAGATATCAAAATCGTTAAATTCTTTGTAAAACTGTGCCTTTTAAGGTGTTATATTTGTTATCGATAATTCCATTATTTCCTTTACAGCTTTTGTCTGGTGTAGACAAACAGTTTTGTGTATGAAAGTTTAAAATGGTACTTCTATTTGTATTGAAAGTAATTCAACTGATTCAGCATGAGACTGCGATCGTTTATAGTTCTATTGTTGTTTTGAAGGTGTTCAAGTGCAAAGTAGACCGAGCGTGGTCTAGTAGGCAGCATATCGGAATGTTCGAGACGAGATATGACACTAAACACATTCTGAACTTTCACATTTGCGGGCGTTATAACTATGGAAGTTAATTACTCTATTCGGTTAAGAAGAAATGGTAGCTACGGACTGCTGTCTTCCCGTCGGTCAGCAGTTATAAATTAGAAATGGCCATTCCTGAATCTTAAGGTGTCTCTGACCTGGCCATTTAACCTGTGTGTCGTATAAGGAGCTATTCAAAACATGAATACTAATACCAAAATACAAGGTGCAAGGTGTTTTACCATAAGGCTTCAAGATTATCAATGCTAGGAATTAATTGGTAAAAATTTTAAACAGCAAAGTATTGTTTAATCAGCCACTAATTCGAAAACAAAATTAGCTATTCGCGATTAGGCTATAATTAATTGTTTAATCAACCAATTATATGAAAAAACTGTGGTTATTCATAGTTGAAATAATTGAATTAAAACACTAGTTAAAAGATAATAAATTTGATCATTATTGTTTTCTTCACGTGATTATTAATATTTCCATTTTGGACAAAAATTCGTTACGCTTCCAAAACACATTTATTATATCGTCAACAATGTCGCTTTTTTAGATAAAAAAAACCCGAACAACTTATATATTAAAACAAAACATTTATTAAATGAAATAGTCTCCATT